ACATCGACAAACTAGATCTCGAGAAATTCACCGTAAACATTTCTTGACATTTCGGTGAGAAACTGATTACTAAGCTCCTGTCTCTGTTTTCACAGTTGTATTTGATTTATCCGTGTTCATCTTTTCGCAGCTTTTATCCCAAAGCCGTGAGGAACTAGCTTTTTAAACAGAAAAAAAATCAACCAACCTCCTGCGGCCATGTCGCAATAAACGGGAAAAGCCTGTTGGTTTCCTGTTAAAGAAGAAAGCAGTTTTAGTTACGGCAACTTACTCAGTTGCTGTTGTATGAGATGGCATTGTTTCAGGTGTCTATATGAATGCATAATTTATGCTCTAAATAGATAACGGAATAAATTACCAAAGAACAGCAGAACCTAAATGGATCTATTACCTAATTTATAGAAAATTAACATTCAATGAAATTAACACGCTTTTCAAAATTTTGCGTTAATTTAACTGTGGGCAAGATAGGGGAATTCAAATTTCGTTGAAATGTTGTTAGAAAATCGAGCATTCTGCCGATCTTTTCTTTCTATTCTTTGCACAACGAAAAGCGTTGTCTTTTTCTAACCTTCACGAATCACGAAGATTAAGTATTGAACTCTTATTCGGGTAATTCACTTCTCTTTGCATCATTTTGCCCTTCAATTTTCCTGAGTTTTAAGTCGTGTAACATAGAGGGAGTCAAGAGAGAAAAATGGTTATGAAGCTTGTTGTATGTTTTTGCTCATTTTTCTGACCTTCACCGTGCACAAAACATGAAAGTTTCTAATAAGTTACTGAATGAATCGAATCAATAACAAATTCGAGATTAAGCAGTTTTTAACACATTCTTTTGAGCAAAAAAGTCAGTAGTATTTTCCAGCACATAAGTTTAACAAACAATAAGGGAGAAAAATGGTATTGTAACTGACGCGAATGGTGAAGGTGTCCAATTGCATGTATCCAATTACAAAAAGTTGCAATTGGATACCTACTAAAATCGCGCGCCAATTACGTGAAGAAAGGCGCGAAGATACACAATCACAGTCAAAACTTTTGTTGCAGATACAATTAACGGCCAAGTCTAAGAACGGACGAAAGTACACATCCATTTACCCTGGAGACGAATCCAGAAAACTCCATTGCTGAGCTGTTTTCCCGCTTTGTTCAGGATATCTTTACAAGAAATTCCCGGATTTGCACTGTCCGTGCCGTATTCCCCTAGAAGCTGAAAGGTCTTCCATTCAGTGCCGACACAAAGATGCACTTTACCGTTCGCGTATTTCAACGCCCCGGCATGTGCTGCGTCATTACACTGGCATGATGCATCCCCTAGTTTGAAAATCGTGGGAACCGGATCTTCACAATTGAGGGTTTCTTCCACACAAATCTGGCCTCTTATTCGCGCCACCAAGAAGACAATGCTCAGAATTCGTACGAAACCATTCATGGCGCCTTGTTTCCTCTCCCCCGCCTTTAGCTCCAAATGGTGTAACAGAAAGCGATCAAGTTCTAAATGGTTTGATAAGGATTATTAAGTAGAGATTTAGGCAGCTGTGTGTGATCAGGTGTAGAATCAATATTTGGAGTTTTCACCGACCTAGTCATATGCATAGTCACGGATAGTAACGATAAAGAAATTGGACGAAGGCTTATCTAGGCCGAGCAGTGCTTCATGCTGATCGCAAATCGCAAACAAACAATCTCATATTAGCTCGCTCTCTTTTACTTTTCAAAACGCCAGTAAGTTAGAGTTTGATGTTTACGGTCTAGCGGCAATTTTAAATCAATTACGTGCACACTACCAAGGCGTTGCAGACGGAAATGTCCCTGTAAATAACAGGTGGTATGTCGCGTCTCCCACGCAGACTACGTGCGCGCTTGCTCTCAACTTCATGCCACGACTAGGCTGAAATAAAAATGAATTTAAAAACTACATTCATATTCCTTCAAATGTCGCAATTTGTCAGTCTAACAGTGTTCAGTTCCTAATAAAGATGATTTATCCCTTTTGCGACTTTCTTGTTGTGGTTCCGTCGTGTTTCTGTGAGGTCCGTTGCTCCTTACTAACAGTACGTCCCTTTGGAGGTCTCTTGGGGATGTGTGCAATTTTTTTAAAAGGATTCTAGATTTGTTTTGATGCTCAGGGCTTGAAGTGGGGTTGAGAGAAGGGACTTAATTTGAACTCTCAAGGTATTTCGTCTGTTTTTCTGAGGCCTCGTCCACACCACGCCGGAGGAAAGCAGCTTTATTTCTACGGTTAGGCCTACTGTCCACACTAATCCGTCACGAAAACGGATCTTTTCGAAAACGCTCTTCAAACCGGGGGAATTTGAAAATGCCGGATTTTCGTTTTCCTGTAAACAGAAAACATTTTTTCGAAAACGGAGCTTTTCGAAAACGATGACATTAGACGATAATCCTATGATTTTCCTGCCCGAGTTTTCCTCAAACACAAATCCAAAATGACCATACAGTGATTGCTCGTTTTTAAATTTCTCCGGCGTAGTGTGGACGGAAAACATTTGATGAGTTTTCAGAGTGAAACCTCCGTTTTCAAATTTCTCCGGTGTAGTGTGGAAGGGTCTTCAAACTCACTAATTAAAAATTCAGTAAGTTTAAACAAAGGAAATCAAGATTGTGACGGTGTTTGGATATCCGATCCTAATAAACATAAATTTTTACGATTTACTTCCCCGTTTTCTCCCTATTTTTCGAATGAGAAGGTATATCAAACATTCAAGACAAGTTAAGACAGTGTTTGACCGCATTTCCAAACACCTCAGAAGTTCGTCAAAAATACTATGCGTTTCAACTCTCTTCTCGGGGTTTGGAAATTTGGTCAAACACGCTCTTTCGTGTTTGATATATTACTTCCAAAACTCTATTATCGCCAGAGACGCATCGTATGCATTCCGTAACTCGATATTTCTGCTTACAAGTAGCAAATATTTAGCTATACGGCACCATAGATTTCCTGAGATTACGTGCTTATATTCAAATCGAAATTCGCCCCTCCTCTTTAACTTGGTATATAAAGCCTTCGGCTCGATCCAAACCACACTCGGTCCGACCAGACTTCTTCTTGCCAATTTCAGAATTCACACCAATTTACATTAATCGTATGAAATAAACTCGCCGGTCCTCATTTATACTCTTCGGTGTGGACAAGGAGGCACTACTTGTTCGAACAAATTTGGTGTCCAACCCACTTATTAGGGAGATTAAGCAATGACGACGGCGACCCGAGGACAACGCCTGAAAAAAAGGTGTCTAGATCTGTTCAGTACGTCTATTGGTCTCAAAACTTGCTCAAGCTAAATATGTAACGCCAACATCCAATTCAAAAGAAATATACGAAAAATTATCCGCCGCCATCCGCGTTCTCTAAATTACGCAGAACTTGGTCATTTCACGTTGTTGTTTTGAAGAGGACGTCTAAGAAATGTACAAGATTTATAACGCACGTGCACAGCCATTGTTCTGCTCATAAACCCTTTTGTTTGGTGACGTGGTTTGCTTAAGGTCCCTGATTATAAGGTCAAGTGCGTCTTCTAACACCAGCTTTGGGTTCACATTTCAGGTCGCGGAACAAGGAAACCTCAAGCGCAATGGTTCAAACTCCATCTCAGAGGTCTTTCACGCGCCCGAATTCAATGTAGCTGAAAGATCCCGAAGTCCACTTTCAAGCAAAGGAGCCAAAGTTAAGGCTGAGCAAAGTATTAATTTATTTGTTTATATCTGATTCGCAAACAGTTTACTTCACACTTGACTAGGACTAAGATCTACAAAATTTATTTATTATATACACATTTTTTTTTGAAAAGAATAAATTTTAGTCCTCAATTGGTAAGCTGTCGGTTTTCCACAAAAAATAATTACCGAATAAAACGTTCGTGATATTAAAAACAATAATTGCAAAACGCTCATTAATTTAAAAAATCGGGCGTAGATGTAAATCTCTGAGCGACTAACCATACAATTAACGCGAGAAAATACTTACAGTCGATAAAAATAACGCAACGACGCAGAATGTCACTATAAATATGTCACGCAACACCTAGAAAGTTACTCTGATCCGAGTGAAATCAATGGTTGCCATGGTCACACCGGGTATTCGTCACGCCCTGTTGCAGATCCGATGTGACCGGTTTTACGGTACCATTACGCTATACAAAGGAAAGCATCCACTTCTTGAATGTAAGAAGCGTTTAAATTAATTTAATAGCATGAAGAAATCTTTCTTACTTTATTAACTTAAATGAGCGTAAAATTTTGTTTACCCCTCCAGCGGTCATTATATTATTTAGGCCGATTATTAAAACGAAGGTTAGACGGCCTTTAAGAAAGAACTGGCCTTAACTGCAATAAAATTGCCACATCAAGATGAAAGACAGTGTATGTGGAGTAAAGCTCACCTAACTTGCGATTATAGCTTCCACCTACAGGGGCTTTTTTAATAACCGGCCCTTAATGTTTTAAACTTAAATTAACTTACACGCCCAACATACCCTGATATTTTCAACTATTACATTAACTGTTCATCCCCGCAGGATCAACCCTAAGTTCTATGTATCCTTATTCTATGTAGCAAATTAATTTAAAGCTAATTAAAAATATTATAAAAACATTAAAAAAGAACTTCATGTTTCTCGAAACATTTGTAGCTGACAGCCAGTTCATACGCACAGTCTTCGTTTTTGTTTGGTTTGTGTAATATTATGGTTCGAAGTGCACCTCCTGTCTAGGTCATAGCTCTGAGCTTTTTTTACGGAGTACATCGACCAAGGCAAAGAACAGATTGCCTTAAGTCCACGATATCCTCGAGAGTTTCAAGACTCAACTGATGAAGGGAAGACAGGATTTGATTCGATTGTTAAATGAAATGCACCACGAACTTACTTAGTAGTTCTGCAGGCCGAAAGCTCGCAAAATTAGCCCTCGTGTTTTACTTATAACTTCGCCCGCTGCTCTAAACTAATTTCAAGCATGCCCCATCCCTAAAAAATAACACTTCGGCCCATCCACATGTATACATTTTCCGACACGCTATTCGGTTCACTCGTCGACTTGGGTTCACACTGAATTAAGGGATAATTTAACACCAAGATTTATCGGTTGCGATAAAGAAAGTTGACATGTCAAAGTTTCTACAAAAAATTGGACCCACTCTTAGAAGACTGTCGAAGACTGAGCGAAAAACCGATGTTTTGTACGCTCGGGTCATCTAAAAATGCTCTGCTTTTAGCGATTAGTGCCGTTAACGTGAAAGCTACTTCCAATGAAAATGCCGTTGTTTTGTAGGCTTGGGCCATCTAAACAAGGTCCACCGACTCAGCGCGGGCCAAGTGAACACAATTTCCAGTTAAAGTGAATACATGTGAATGGGCCGAAATGAACTTAATATCTGTCCAATGCAATGCACGTATTTCAACATATTATAAAGAAAACCGCACAAAAAGCATATTAAATATCTTCAGGCCATATTTATCAGCGCAGTGGTTCACCCAAAACCCAAATTGTTATCTAAGTTCAATCTTGAGATAGGACTCTGTTCACTGCCGGTTCGCTCGGAACCGGCTGCTTAGTTTGCTTGTATGGATTCCTTCATTAAAAGTACACAAATTTAGCGTACAGAAGGGTAAATTCCTACACCAGATATACATTTTTTGAGTTTTCAAATCAAATTCTCCGCAATTTCAGCGCCCCTAAGAAGATCGAAATCAGCACAGTTGAAAACAGACCTTTCAGGTCCGAAATCTTTTAAGAAGACAAGAACTTTCAGGCAAATATAATTTACTATTGTTTCACATTTCGTAATCAATTTCCAAGATAAATCACGCGCACGTCACGTTTCAAAAGAAACCAATCACGTGGTAAACTACTGAGGCTGGCGCGGTTTGATTGTCAACGGAGTGGCGCATCTAGTTTCATTTAAAACCCACTGCCAAGTAAGGGTTGAAACTAAACATGGCTATCCACAGTAATTCCTGATACATCTGCCATAATTTCCGAAAAGGATGGACGGGCAAGAGGATTGCCTTCCCAGCACTTTTCCAGCACCTCCAACACTGTATCAGGGCAGTTGTCCGGTTTGGACAGACGAAGGTCATTCTTGACGCATTTAAGGACCTCTTCGTTGGATCGATCGTGGTAGGGCATCTGACCAAGAGTGTAAATCTCCCAAACCAGAACGCCATATGACCACACATCGCTCTTCTCGGAGAAATCATCGTCGAAGATCGCCTCAGGAGGCATCCATCTGAGCGGTATCTGCATGTTATTGAAGCGATAGTACTCGGCGTTGTACAGGTCGTAACTTAAACTCAAGAAGCCGATCTTGACCTTTAGATCTTTACCCACCATACAGTTTCTTGCAGCAAGATCCTTGTGGACGAAGTTTTGCGAGCTGAGATATTTCATTCCCGAGGCCACTTGTCCGCAGATAGCGAGCTTCTGATTCGAATTCATCGTGCTTCGACCGTTATCGTAGCAAGACAGGAGAAACTGCTTCAAGTCACCCTAAAATGAAGGAAAAATTGAGCTGTCAAACCTGGAGATTTCCCGCGATTAGCCGCGCGAACACTGCGCACCTGACTGCGATACTGGCTAGCAGACACAGTATTCCATATAACAATGCATACGTCACGAGGTGCTGTTCACAACCGACCAATCAGAATCCAGCTGCTATAACTGTCCGAATCCCTGACTCCAGAGGGAATTTATCACACTAAGACTGTTTAAACTATAAAATCAAATTCGAGAAAATGCAACAAGATTACACACTTTATAATCGACTTCGGAGATAAACATTTTTGGCACACCCGGATTAAAAGGCTTAAACAAGAACTATTCCCATGTCAGTCCTGCATGTACAGCACAATTAGCCAAAATTCCAAAGAATGCCAAAAACGACCGAGACATTTTCGAGGCGTGGTAAAACTTAGCTAGACATATTTCGGCACGAAATTTATCCGCAACATCTTATCTACATTTACGACATTGCAACTGCTGTTCCGTCTTTGACCAACAATTCACGATGAATGTCAATAATAAATGAATGAAACACAAAACAGCACATTTCTGGCTCTGGTTGCAAAAATAGCACACGGTACCTCGACCAAGAAACGAGAGGGTCGATTGACTTTATCTGCCAGATTCAACAAATCCGCAAATCTCTACCAAACTTCACTTATTTATACGATTCAACCCAGCAAGTTTAGAATTCACGGTGCGGAGAGACAGCACTTGTTTTCGTGATTTGGACGCAATCAACGCTGACAGTATGTGATTTTTCTTAAGACTTACTTAGAGTTTAGCTAAGAGCTATTAAATGGACGGGCTTATTTCTTTCAACTCCATTATAATAAGATAGACGGCTTTCCGCATAAGCATCACTAATTATTTGGCAGCAGTTTAAGGCCTTAGGGGTATCTCGTAAACGCAGTAAAGACTACAGTAAATCGGTTTTCATGGGTTGATCGGATTAAAGCAATATTATTGACACATTGACGGCACGACCAACGTAGCGCCTTCCCAAGCACGTAGCAGGTTTTACCTTTTTCTAAGCTGAAGAAAACTAAATTACCTGAAATTTGTTATTTAGTATTGTTTTTTTTTTTTCGGGGAGGTGGGGCAGTGACAAGGGGGAGGGAGGGAGCAGATACTTTCATACTTCTGACTTAGCTCAACAGAGATAGTGGCTTCGATTTTGTTAATATTTGATTTTGAATTTTCACGCGCGAAAGATATCGGACGATTTCTCCGGAGGGGGACTGAGAAGAGAGGGTTAGAAATGGACGCACAATGGTAGATTTGTGTTCACACGGGGCCACAAGAGATCATAAAACAAACCTTTTCCAGTGATTCGAAGATCATGTAAAACGGCTCTTCCTCCTTACAGACACCAAGCAGTGCAACAACATTTTCATGATGCAGGTTACACAGCGCGTCTACGTCTTTATTGAACTCCTCGCGCACCTGGTCATCATTACTAACCAAGGCCTTCACCACGACCATGGTTTCTCTTTCGCCGTCGCGAATCCCGCTGGCTCGCGCCAGGAATGCTCGACCATAGGCCCCGTTGCCCAGACTCCTGAGCGCCTCGAGGTCATGCCTGGGGAACTCCATGTTGTCATAACTGGGCTGGGATCTGTAGATCGGGTTCATTGTCATATCGTTGCCTTCTCCATCTCGGTGCTCGATGTCACCATTGGCATTAACTGTTAACGAGTTGAGAGACGAGAGGTCAAGCCAGAAAAATTAATTTCACTCCAGGAAAGGTACGTTACACTTCAAAGACAACAGATAAAAACTTACGATTCTCGCATTCTGGAGCCATAACCTCTTCTTTCTTGTTTTGCCTGGCTCGCCGGCCTTTACAGTAGATCATCAATCCCACCACAAGAACAATGTATGCTGCTGCACAACCCACCGCAATACCTATGGTGCGGCCCATGGACCCAACAGACTTGGTGGCTTCCTTATCGCGGGGAGCTGGAGAGAGGATGTGTGTATTACATACAAGTTTAAATCACAGATTGTAGCCGGGGAGGAGGGGGAGGGGGGATTCCTTGCCTTCGCAGACCTTTTTTGAAAGACCATGGTTGCCACAGACATCACTTTTCAAAATACCCTGACTTTTCCCTGACCAAATAAACAAAAAATGCCAGATCTAGTAGCAGCTTACCGCCCTCCTTTACATTCGATCTTTAAGACTGATAAGTTTTCAACAAATTTTCCTTCTTCATTAAGTAAAAATATCGTTGAGATCACAGTGACCCCAAATGTTTCTTCCAGCCTTCGATGGTATTAAATCAGCTGCGTTAAATTCTTTCAATTTTCCCCGACTTCTCTTCAAATTGTCAATTTTCCCTGACTCCAAATAAAATTCCCTGACTTTTCCCTGATCTTGAAGAATTTTTTCCCCGACCATTTCCTGACCTGTGGCAACCCTGAACACCCCAACAGTTTTCTATTGTCAACGTTGTAACACTAATTAGTATCACCCAACTAGTGGACTAATGCAAATCCTGCATTTTAATTGGCTATGCTACTAGAGGACTATTACTAATAGTCCTCGAGTAGCGAAA